AAATGGAGTTAAAAACTGACCTGAGGAGAAAAAAGTCCCCAATCGCCGAATAAACTGATAAAGATGCAGGGCACAGCTGTAAACAGGAAGGTTTTCGAATTGGGGATATTTTTTGGGAAAGGATCAACTTCTTTGAAGATTAGTTCCACTTTGCCAATTGTCTGAAGTTTTTTGCAGGTTGGCACAGCTGGTCCTGTTTTTCTTTTGGTGGACGCCATGCGCCTTTGCATGTGAATTATAGGAGGTGATAGCAAGTTAGGCCAGTAAAGCGAACAACAACGTCTGTTTTGCAGCACGTGTGACCTGACGGGGGAAGCCCTCGTTGACACTCATCTATCACCCACACCTCGTTTACCATCGTTCAATGAAGAAAACACAACCAACAAACAGACAACATCGTCGTAAACGCAAAACATCGGTGGACCGTACTTTGGCAGTGTTGAATTACAGAAAAAAAATAGTTTAGATTGAATAGAATGGGCGAAAGGAGTTGGTGTAGTGACAGGTGGCGTACTATCTCACACACATGGTCACGGGTTCAAATCCTGGATCGGGATCGGTATTCTTCTAGGCCAACCAAGCCTCCATCTCTCTGCGGTAGGTTTATTGGTACCAGACTCGTCTAGGATGATAAAAGCATTGACTCGTATTATACAATGCCGGACCACCGCAAAATCATTGTATAGGAAACGTACGCTTTCAATACGCTACTACGATTTCGAATGGAAGTCGAATGCGGGGCGCATCCCTTAGTTAAGATTGATTAACGCCCAAAAAATATTGCCCTCATTTGTCCTTTAGATAGAATACTGAGGTGACTACAGTATGGACTGGAAGTTTGGTGGCAGAAATCCTGAATGAAATACACCCTTGACGGCGGAAATTCTAATTTTTCTGAATCATTTCAGTTGAGCCCTTTGAATAAATTTTATCTACGGTCTGTGCATTAGTATCCCATAGTGTTGAAATTCACTTCCATGACAAAGCGCGACTGCTGAATTTTGTTTCAAACATAATTCATATGGCTGATTTCTTCTTGAGAAGGAGAAGAAAACCAAGACGATCAGTGAAGAAGAGGACGAGGAGAGACCTTTGCCAGATGAATTTACTGAAAAGCGAAAACTTATCATGGAAGATGAACCGATTGTTTCCCAAAGAAGGACGGTTTGGAGGCTAAACCCAGTATTTGGGCTACTTCTTGGGGTTTCCTATGCGGATCATATTTGGTGAACGCCATATCGCCACTATACTGCGGAACCATGCCCGTACAAGGCGATTTCTTCAGCCCTATTCTGCAATCAAGTATTTTCAAGCCTTGCTGCTGATCGACTATCATTATTTCTCACTAAAAATACTTCAAAACTGATAACCTTACTGGAATGGGTTACAAATAGCTACAAGGCTTTTTGTATTGAAGACTATTGTTGAAGGGGAGATTTTTCGTCGAGATGAAGCAACAGGATCAATAAAGCAATTAATATATACATATGAAAACTCGGAAAGACTGTGGAAGCACATCACAGTGATCGAGTGTGTACGAATGCACAGCTCATGAAGGTTTTGAGGCAACCTTTTCAGAAAGGAATTATTGGAGCAGACAGGTGCATCGATGGCGACAAAACGCGAAAATGGGCCGACTTCGATACAAATGGGGCCCCTAGAAAAACTGAAAAAAGAAGTTGTCGAGATTACAATGATGGAAAGTGATATATGGAGAAATCTTAGTTGATGCAACGGCGAAAAGAGCCGCCTTTGACCAGCCNAAAACGCCCAAAATTGCCTTCCTCTGTCGTCATGGGTCATGACATGTTGTGTGAACTTCCTACATGGGAGTCCCTGTGAATGGAGCAGACCCTACAATGGCGTTGATACTCGTCAGCCTTAGTGTGGCATACAGCTGACACAATATTTGAGTCCTTATACTACCTTATTTTTATTTTTGGGCTGTTTTCCGACCCGAAACTGCCACATGTGGTATACGAGGCAGATTTATTTAAGGAAGATATCTCAGAAATGTTCGAGGTGGAAGTGGTTTCCTAGATTTTTCCCTGATACGATCGTAGGGACCTGCAAGGATAGCAGAAGGACGCCGTCTGGTCGAAAAATCCCTACATAGGTGTAATAAGGCCTCAATACCGGCTTAGATATACGAATGAGTTCTCTAGCTTTGGTGAGGCTAAAAGGCTGGACCATTCGCATAGGACAAACAAGCTTACGGTAGCTAGCTGTACGCGAAGGCATACACACACACACTTGGAACTCGCGTCCGAATACCCCTTCCATGCAGCTTTTGTCGTCACATTCTCATCCAATCGCTGACTTCACTATTTTTTTTTGAAATCCTTACATTTCTCTAATTACGCCGGCTTTCGCGTTATCTTTGCCACACTCGCATTTTCTCGGACGATCATTTCCATTTTTCATATGAAACAAGATATCCGAAGATCATCAAGAACTGTGCAACTGTGCCGTCAATCCTTTGAAGGCATAGTTTGCAATAATTTTGTGTACAGAATTATAATTTAGAGATTTATAGGGCTTCGAGAGGTACTTAAATTAGGGATGGATGAGAATGTGATAATAAAACTTGCACGGAAGGGTTATTGGAACGTGCTGTCTAAATGAGTGTGGCATACAGCTAGGTGTAGTGAGTAGCCTGCGCGAAAAGTGTGCGTCCCGGTACGAATGGAGCAATCTGTAAAGCTTTTAGGTGTGGACGTTGGTTGACTCGGTACTGGGGTCCTCATAACCCTATATTTAGGAAGTTTATCGAGCTGACAACGTCCCTTATCCTTAATAGGCGCAGGTTCAACAGAATCCCTCGTGTCGTCTTTGAGCTTGAAAGGTTAATCTTAAGGAGGAATCGCAGAAACCTTCTCTATACTTCAGTGTTCCTTTGCATCTTTTCGATGGACCCTCAATTTTCTTGGAAATGAAGGCAAAAATTGGTAAGACAAACATTATGTGGTAAGAAAGCTCATGAGCAGAGCTTTCCACTGATTCTATTTTCAACTCAATTGTAGTACTTCGGCAAAAGTTATGGCGAAAGGATGATTTACGACGAATTAACCGGTTGTTTACGATCCGTCGTACTATACTGCTATAGTAATTCGTGATCACTCGTAGGTAACTTTCAGTTGGCCATAAATTGATGGCAGTATTGGAGTTTATTGGAAGAAAAAAAGGGAAAAAATTTAAATCACGTACCGTACTCTGCTGAAGAGCTGTCCAAAGAAGGAAATGAATGAACGACTGACGCCTTGATTTGTTGTGAAGGACTTGAATAACATGAATGTACTTGTCAGAACCCGTTTGTTGTGTTAATGGTGACCGCAGGAAAAACAAACTGTCTCTGTGGCCGCTGCCACTTTGACCCGACCGCCGCTGGAGTGATACGGATAGACAGCCATCCTGAACTATTCAAAGTGGGAAACCACACTTCAGGGAGGGGGACAGGGAAATTCGTTCTGTCACAGCAATAAATAAAAGGTACTTAGCGTAAATATGTCCTCCTCTGAGCACCTTAACTGTTAGCAAATAAACGTTTGAGTAGTTTCATGGAATCCCCAAATCCTCTGTTGAAGCTGTCATTCTCTGAGCTCTTTTCATAGCTAGGTATCTGATGTATTAGTGAATGTGAAATAGGAAGCTCCACTTACAATGATTATGAATGAGGCTACGGCTGCTGGTTATGCGATCGCAACAAGACAGCCTTCAGATGCACATTTCACGATGAAAATGGTTTCTGAGTTCCCCTCTAGGAATACCCAGCGCTCCCTAGGGATAACAGGGAGAACGCTGTCGAGTCCAAAAACTCAACAGCCAGTGCATAGTGAGAGCTCCGTTACCGGATCACCCGGATGCCCCGCCCCTCGATCGATGCCACGTCACACGAGTGTCGAGGCGATACAGATTGCAATATTCGTTCTGGGACCCATGCACAAACAGCTGATCGCCGAGTGATGAGGCGATGTTTTTCTCCTTTTCCATTATTCTTTTTCTCTTTCCTTAGACACTCTTCCTTTCCTCTCAGTCATTCTTTTTGCTGCAGCGATCCTTTAATTAGTTTTCTACCCAAGAGGATTTATTCGCTGCTGTTCTTGGGTGGATCAGGTGAGCATCTCACGTATCTGAAGATGAAAATGTAGTTGGAAGGTGTCCGCGCCCTTTTGTGCTATGCTTCTGACATCAGACTGCAAAATTCATAGGGACCACGCTGATATAGGAGAGCCGGGGTAGGCGAGATGATTATCTCGTGCAAAAGCTAGACATCAAACTATCTCTGGGTTCTACCGAGATCTATGCACTCTGCCGTTTGGTGTCAGAGACGCAGAGCAAAGCGTCAGCTCGCCCAACTACCCCTTTCACGCCATTTTGCCCGTAACTCGTCCAATCCCCCATTTTGATAGTTTTTTGTGCCATTGTATGTCTTTTTATACGCAGTTTATTGCACTTTGCACTATTCTAGACTGTATCTTTCAATATCCATCAGAAACTGGGTACCTAAAAATTATCGTGAATTGTGCTGTCAAGGGACAATGCCTTCAATACAGTATGCATAGTAAGTAAACTATTTATTCCTTAATGAAGTTTCCCAAATTTACATAAATATCACGAGAGTAGAAAAAGATAAACTTGATTGAGCAAGACACTTACTTTCAAGTTCAATTTTTCGCAAAAAGAAAAAAACGTTCAAAACTAAATGGTAATCTAATGACTAGTGATGTATGTACCCGGTGTGACATGCCGATTAAGCGTGTGATGCAGCTCTTTTGATAAGTTGAATAACCTGGTTGTTTTATGAATGGAACTGAGTGAAAAGTAGAAAAATCGAAGGCAGTGGTACACTTGGACGAACGAATAATGGAACGCAAACGAATTTCGATACAAGAGGAGCAGATCATGGGAAAAACTGGCCTTCAAGAAATCGAATGAATCCTGACAACTTCTAATATGAGGGCTTGGTGATCGTCAAATGGCCAGTTTTTCGGCACCATATAAAGCATATCAATGCAAACATCAATGTGAATACGGCGATTGCTAGTAGCAGACTATAAACGAGTACGAGCGTGTCTCGATCAAATGCGCCCTTCGCCGAATTGGACATGACAGTTGTGTTCTCGACGACTGCAGGCGCCACTTCACCAGCTTCCTCTTCACGGAATACCGTATTCATATGAACTTCGTTGTCGTCATCAACGTCGTCATCATCGTCGTATCCTTGAAAAA